CCCCCCCCACCTCCCGGCAATTTGCAGAGACACAGAGAATCCATTTCCCATTGCTGGTGTATTTTCTAATAGGAGTAGATTTGCTTCAGATCAAAACACACCAATCCACATTTTAAAAGGATGTTTAAAAAATGCATCTGATTACTGCTTTTATTTCTGCTTCGTGGATGTAAATGGTGTTAAAATCCAGAACAAATTTTATAAGCCACATTGAAGAACCCTAGCCAACCTGCTAAACAACCTACTAAATCCAAAAACACAAGGGAATTCCTGGAAGCTTGGCATTCAGACAAGTCAGCCATCAACAGGCACATAGAGATAAGCAACATCTACACACTATTCAAAAGAGACAATAAAGAGGAAGCAAAAAGGCCAGAACACCTCCTTGCCAGCAATCAACACCCAGATAAGCAGGGATGAACACCAGACAATCAAGCAGAAAATAATACCCTAATCTAGGAACGACCAACTCAGACAATCAAGCAGTAAACAACAGCCTAATCTAGGAACTACAGAGGAAAAAACAATTTCCCCACCAGCACTGGCAGGACAAGCTGTATATAAACAGAGAGCAAACCCCACTCCCTTCTAGCACTGAAGTTGTTACCTAGCTGGGTAACGAAACGTCTGCAAGAAAACAACCAAGCTCAGAGAACCCCAAGGACTCTACTAAACTTGCTTTTCAGTTTAGGGGTAGAGATAATTGTCATTCTTAATCCAATATGCCATTCCTATACACATTTCACTCTGTTTAAAAGGCTCCGTAGCATTCTTCCAGGCACGCTGCCACGGCAAGTCCCAGAATTCCCAGGAAGCTGCTGGCTAGGAATTCTGGGAGTTAAAACCTCAGCACATCTGGAAGGTTCTGCTCTAGGTCATCCTTTGAGAATTCATACCGCTTTAGAATGGAGATGAGCAACTTTTTTCCAGGCAGAGAGAGTGTGTCATCCAAAGAAGTGAGTGGCATATGATTTAATTTAATTTCAATTAGAGTAGAATTGTATCAAATTAACAAATCATAATGAATATGAACAGTTTGGTCATTAGTTAAGTGCCATTGAGTTAAGTTCAACTCCAAGTCACTGCTTGAACAAATACTCAACATTTCAGTCCACCTCTGATAATAACTTCCCATTAATTTCCAAAGATATTCCATTCATCTAACTTTCCCGGTCTTCCCCTTTTCTTTATTTTAGTAAACGTAATTATTCTGTTTAGTCAATCATTCACTTGTATCACATGCCAAAGTATATGAATTTCTGCTTGCTAGTCCTGAGCTCAAGGAAACATCACCCTTGATTTGGTCCATGAATGCTTGATTAGTTCTTCCGGCGTTAACCATCTCTAAATCTACAATTCAATTTATTTAAGCATTCCCTTCTGCTCTCACAGTAAAAAACCCTGGCATATTTGGGGGTCTCCAAGGACTGCATTCCACGCTTCCAGGAGCTCTACCCCCTGAAGGTTTGGGGGTTGTGCACCCTGAGATGATCAGACAGAGGCAAAAACTGATCAGCAGAAGGGAAAGAGGAAATGAGGATGTTAAAAATTATAGAACAGCCCACTTGGCTGCACTGGCTATAAACTGAAACAAGAAAATAACTAAAGAAGTTTGTGTTAACCCATAGTTAATGCTAAGAAAGTGAAAC